CTCTCTCTCTCTCTCTCTCACTCATCCTTTCATCATTCACTCACTCATGGTGGTGGTGGCAGCATGTAGCATTACTTTATATAACGTTATACTTTAATACAATAAATACTTCATACAAAAGAAAAATAAATAACTACATATACAAACATGTAGAAATCTCTTCTAGCTCCATGTTGTAGTAAAATGTTATCTACCTCTATTTCTCTGGAGGTGTGGAGAAAGCCCCTCCCTCACCCTCCTCTGCAGCGGGATTGGTTTTGATGCTCCAGGTCTTATGGGCACAAACAAACCCCCCCACGCCACCAAGTCTTTACTTTGAGCCTCATAAGGATCAAACTCACACCCTCAAATCTTCCAGTCGACACTGGGCTGTTTGATTGGACAAAGGACCCTTATTACCTTTGAATGTTTACTTTGGGTATTAGATTTCAAAATTCACCCGAGACCTCAGGACTCCAGAATAGTCTTCTTATTCCCTCCTATGTTTGAACAGAGACACTTGAGCTCTTGTTCGTTAGAGACTTTAAATGGTTCCTCTGGACTTCAGAATTCACTGCACCCACTGAGTTACCTGAGGATTGAACCCACAACCTCACAACTTGGCCACCATGACTGTTGAGAGCTTTTGAGGTCAAGGGTTTGATCATTGTGATAAGTCTTGTGTCTGAAGGAACGAGTTAAAAGCTCCAAGAAAAGCGCGTCTCGTCAAACGGCTCGGGCCGTTAAGAGGACCACACTTCAGTTTTCAAGTCTCAGGTTCAATCCTCAGGTAAAACAAACACTAGTGAACAACGAGCATCTTTTTGGGAAGTACTCTTCTCGGTACTTGAGAAGAGTACATGTAATAAAGCCGAGAAGACTCTGACCAAATCTCAGGGTGTGGTTGAGGTTTGGGTTCAATCCTTGGTGAATTTTAAAGTCGAAGACCCCGATTAAAGACTTAAAGACTCTAAGAAATGGAGGTCAAGTGTCTCTGATCTAATAAGCCAGCGTGTTAGAGGACTGTAAAGCGCCAGTGGTGCAGCGTACGTTTCAGAACCGGCTTCTTTTTGGTGCCTGGAGCTTCAGAACCACAGCTGCCGTGACTAGAGATAGCGGCCCAGTCTGACGGTGAACTGTCGGTAAGGTGGGGGATGAACGTGTGCGAGGTACAGACTCTTACATGTGAGGGGATGTAGATGTCGTAAGGGTTGCCCGAGTCCACGTCGATGACGTGGAAGCCCACGCTGGAGCCGTAGATGACTTTTAACCTCTGCCCCTCCTCCACGGTCAGGTCGACCAGCAGGGGGCGATGCTGCAGGTCAGTGAACGACTGACAGACAGAGAGAAAGAGAACGAGGGATTCATTAAACAACCGAGCGACAGGAAATGACTCCTGCACTTTGTTTCTTTGCTTGTTAGTTTATTGGTCGGCCGGCTGGTTTATGCAGATTTATTGATTTTCTATGTTTTTCAACATCATGTCGCTCGGCTTCTTCCGTCGTGTTAGCTCACATGATCTCAAGCACAACTTTTACCGCACTCCAACACCTCGAGCGCATCGTGACGCGTCTCACCTTGAAGGCCATAAACTTGTGGTAAGGTTTAGGCGCCCAGGCGTAGATCTCCACGGAGTTCTTCAGAGCAATCACCAAGAATTTAATCCTCTCGTACTTCACTGCGGGACGGAGCAGAACAAAGTTAAAAAAAAAAAGCCTGGTTGCTTTGGAAACACTTGTGGTTAGCATATTAGCTGAGAGTCGATTTGACGGAACTTGAAGCTTCATAATTAATTCAAACCTGAATGAAAACAAAGTGTTTGGTTAACGCGAGTCCCCAGTGTGGCGTGTTATCAGGTCCACGTCCTCACGACACACACGAACCAGGTTTCTTACCGACTTTGTAGTGAACGCAGCCCTCCAGTTCTCCGACAGTGATCCAACCCTGTTTCTTTTCCACTTCGGGGTCGTTGTGTAATATCCTGTTCCTGAGCCAGGACAGGTAGTAAACACGCAGCTTGTTCTTCTTCCCTGGTTTGGAAAAAAGGAGAACAAAACAATTCTGAGAAATTATACTCACCTTACATGTACGATTTATTTTGAGGTTTTTTAGGTTTCACACTCTCTTCCGATGAGACTTATTGTTGCATCAGTGCAAAGAGCCTCATTTCTAAGCCTTCAAAGGCGGATCTGATCAGACTGCACACAAAGAGAAAAGGGAAAAAATAGAAACATCTCGGTCGTGTTCAGCGCCTTGTTTTGTTTTTCTATTTGTACTCCAAACCAGTGGGAAGCTTGGAAGTTAGAGAGGCAACTGTGACCGAGGGGGGAAACAGGAAACACCGAGGACAAAAACAATGACAGAGACTCGAACGAGAGATCAACAAAAACAGCTCCGGAAAACTGAGGGTTTAGATTTAGGGGCTGAACAAAAGGCAAGGAGCCAGAAAAATACAGAAGATGATTTTGCAGTCTGCAGGTCAGAGCACAGGGAGGGGGATTAAAAAACTCTTCTTTGTATAACAGAACAATATGAGCTCAAAGATCACCTTACGAGCTTTTTGGAGCATTCAGACATATCTCACAATCTCCTCAAGTGAATACTAAGGGCTGTGTTATTCTAGGAAGAAACTAATGTTAGGAAAGACCACACTGGAAGATCTGACAAAAAAACAAACCTGCCGCCATGGAGAAGACGCAGACCTGAGATCGTTTAAATACGGGGATAAAGGTGGACGTTCTCATATAGTCTCTATCTTGTAGACATTCACTCGTTTGTTGAGAAAAATCGCCGAGACAGAAGGTCAATCCTCTGCGCTGCAGACCAAACATGGCGTGAAGAGGGAGTTAATGTCGGATTCAGAAAGTTATAAAACATTGTTGGATTCCTCTAATCTGACGGCGGAGAGTCGTTAAGAAAGACGGGGTGAGATGTTTCTGATGGAGTGAACTGACGCTTCATATTGTTTGTTAAAGTCAGGAATAAACTTCTGCAGGAAACAAACCCTCATCAGCGACGTGACAAAACCTAAAGGGACGTTTTTGGATGACGATACCTGGCAGTTGAATCCGTTGTCTAACAGCTGAGGCTGCAGGATTTTAAGAAAGAGGCGCACCAACCTGAGATGGTGACGAGGACGTTGAGTCCCTCCAGGACGTCCATCTGCTGGAAGCGCCGTCGGTTGATCAGGTTGTAAACTTTGCCCTGCCCGCTTCGATCCAGCAGCATCAGGCCGTTCTCCGTCCCCACCAGCAGGTTCACTCCTGCACAAACACACAGAAGTCCGGTCTTCACTGCCTGTGCGTTTGCACATGACTAATATTATTGCGGTGAAGCAGTTTTTCTCGCGACTGTCTCACCCCACAGTGCCGCACACAGGATCTCCGAGTTGAAGCGTTTCTTGTACTTGCGGATCTCGGGCGTGTCGCTGTGCGGCCTGATGTTGGTGGGGTTGACGTTGACCACGGAGATCTTTCTGGCCTCGTTGAGCCTCGCCTGCTCCTGCTCCTGCTTCAGCAGCTCGTCGGCAAACAGCGCTGCAGCGACACCATATGACACACCGCTGCATGATCTGACCATCAGAGCTTTTACGTTCTTATTAAGGTTGATCTCCTTTCTAACCGTGGCGTCTGAATGACCCACAACCTCAAAGACATGACTGTTATAGAGTGAAAATAGAAATAAAAACATCAACGAGTCTCTCAGTGTAGTTATTTGAAGAAGTTAAAGCGAACATTTTTAACATTAACTACAGTTTCTCTTTATTTTCCGACTTGTCGAACGAGGTATTCAGAGTGTAGACCAACAACTGTGATAAATAATTCTGTGGTTTGAATTAAAGATAAGAAGATGTTTTAAAAACACACCAGTGTTTGTGATCTATTGTGACTTTGAAAACTTTGTGAAAAGGAAGTTGATAATTGCATCATCATTAACAAGAACACATTAACTTTTGGTTGGAGAAGCAGCTTTTGTTGTTTATTCACTTTTCAATTAGTTATTGTTTCTTTTTGAGTTGTTGTTTTCTTTCTTTACATTAAATGTGTTGAGTTAAATGTTGTTTTTCTTATTTCCCACACTGGTAATTGTCTGACGACTCCTTAGTTTCATCTTGTGATGTCCACCTTCAGTCAGAAAACGTACCTGAGGCAGAGCTTTTATCGTCATCATCAGTCGGGGACGTGCCGTAGACCCTCGGATCGACAAACGGCGTGAAGGACGCCTTGGAGCCTCCACCGCTCCCCATCGCATACTGCCGATCACAGAAACACAGGTTCAGTCACGTGTTTGTCTCGCTGTCTGTTAGTTGTGGGAAAAACTGAATGAAGCAGGTAACTGACAAAATAAAGGAAAGACATGATGTTATTCGTTTCTTTCTTTCTTGTGTTTCAATAATAAAAACGCCTTTAAGCGTCATCCCGGATAAATCCACTTCTACCAGGAGCTAAACTTAACCTGCAGTGTTTCCTTTATTCAGTCAGCTACCTGCGTCGTGTGCTGAGGAACAGGGAGGAGGGTTCGTTCTGGATCAGAGGCTGGAGAACCGAGAGAGGTGGGGGAGGGAGAAAGAGAGGGATCGGACGAGTGGAGCGGGGAGGGAAGAAATCCAGTTTGTTCCATCTGTGGGGAAAACACTGGAAACCAAAGCGGGGCAGATCTGAACGGGACAGGGCAGGAAATTAAAGGTGCCACATGTTGTCACGTTTGATTTTCATACTTAAGAGTCTCATTTCCTGTTGATGAGCTGAAACATCTTCATGCTTTATTAACTGTTTGTTTGAGCCTGAAACTGTATATTTGTGAGGCGGTTTTAAAGCTCTTCAGAGGGAAGCGGCGGACTCTTCAGCAGAGTGTCAAGAGACGGATTAACACACTGTTGGTTCTGGACCGGAACAGAAACACTGAGCAGCAGCAGCTTAGTTCTTTAAATGCAGCTGAAAGTTGCTAAAACATGGCTCCTGATTTCTGACCCTCGTGTGGCGGCTGCCGGTAGTTTCCCACCCTGACAGAGGACCAAACAACCAGCTGGTGACAGGTGTGTGGGCAGGTGACAGGGTGAGCGGGGTAACAGGGTGAACGGGTGACAGGGTGACGGTCTGTCAGGAGCAGGTGTGGGAGGGGGGGTTTTTTTTTTTTGGGGGGGGGGGCGATATTTGGGTGCCGCTCCACCTACTTGGGCCCCAGAGGCGTCGCCAGGGGAGACCAGGGGGGAAGTGCTTTGCTGCACCAAATCGGGGAGATTGGCGTTGCCAGGGAACAGATTAGCGTTGCCAGGGAAACCGTTGCTGGCGGTAGAGCTCCGCCTCCGTTCCCCATGTTTCTGGAAAAAGAGAAAGAGGAAGGGGGGGGGGGGCTACTGTGCAGCAAGGCTGTGATTGACAGGTCAGGCGGTGGAGGGAGGAAGCTGACCCCTGCTGTGTGCAGGTGTGTTTGTTTCTGTGTTGAAGGGGGCGGGTGGGTACTGAACCCAGCGGCTCTCAACAGAGAAAAGTAGCCCTTCATACATGTTGTCATGTGTGTGTTTCACACAGCACTCTGCGCACACACACACACACACACACACACACACACCCACACACACACACACACACACACACACACACACACACACGTCTCCTGGTAGGCCAACAGTGAAGCTCCTTCAGATCAATGTTTCCTGTTGATCGTTTCAACTAACATGTTATTAACTAATTGATTAATGGAAGAATGGAATACTCACTGTAATACTCATACAGTATTTTACAGCAAATACAGAATCAATTAGACTAAATAACTGACAATTGTGAATTTCTTACTAAATCGACTCTCATCAGATAAAGTTAAATAAATAAATAAATAAATAAATAAATAAATAATTCCAAATAATTAAACGAAGAAAAACTACAACCACTGACGTCCAACCAGATGTTCAACCAACCAATCACAATCCAGAATCTTACTGTCGCCCAATGTGTGTTATTCTCACACACACACACACACACACACACACACACACACACACACACACACACACACACACACACACACACACACACCAGAACAATAACAGGAAACAGCCAGGCATGCAGAGCTGGTGAATGAGCGTCTGAGCGCTTGGCTGTTGGTTTCTGCGGAGTCAGCGAGGCTACGAGTCAAACCCCAGGTCAAAGGTCAAAGGTCAAAACTGAGAGGCGGCTTACCTCACGCATCATCAGGGTGCTGTCCTGGGAGCTGTTTCCATACGAGTCGCCGTGGGAGTCGTTATGACCTCCCATCATGCCGAAGGACTCGTTTGCACCTTGACTGGCGGCCGGCCTGAAACACAGACGTCGACATGTTTATGTTTTAATTTCATTTTTAGCTGTTCTCACTGATAATCTTTTAAATGGAGGTGAGAGCTTAACAAGGTGTCGTTGTTCGTTAACCTGCCGCTCCTTCTTCTTCTCTGGATGAAATGTGAAATGTGAAATGTGTTGAACAAGCATCACTGACGACACTCACATAATTCGCGGTATATCGCTGACAGCCACTGTTCCGTCGTTGGCCCCGCCCTCCCCTTCCTCGTCCTCGCTGCTGTGAGACTCCTCACTGGACGACGAGTAGTCCGTCACTTTGACGGGCGGGCGGCTGGTTTCCTCCCCCTGTCGCAGCTCTCTCAGCTCTTTGGCCAGAGCCGTCAAATCCTGCAGGAGAGGAAGACACACGAACACATCATCAACTCATTCTGCCGTTTCTGTGTTACGCTAAGTGAAGCTCAGGTAACGCCCAGGTGAGGTTTTCACTCCGAGCTGACTGGGAGGAGTCTACTATACTATCTAAAGACTGTTTTTTCTTCACATTACAGTCATTACAAGCTTTAATTTAAAAAAGGTGGAGGTTTAGTTTCATTCTTTCTGTTGTGTATATGTGAGGAGTAAATATGCTGATTATTTTCTCCATTAATCAATTAATCATATGCTAATTGTTTGATCTATATATTTATAAAACAGTAAAAGACGCTCATCGGTTTCTCAGAAGCCAGAAATTAAGTCATCAAGAGTCTTGTTTCATCCAAAATCCAAAGATGTTTATTTTAATATAATATTTAAACGATAAAAAAACATTTAAGAAGCTTAAAGAGAGAATGTTTCATAAACGGATTATAAAAATAGTTGCTCTACGTTACTGTTCACATTATTATTTGCTGTTTATTCCATAAATATCTCATTTAGTGTCTGAGGCAGCTGCAGAAAGCTCTGGTCACAGGAAGTGTCACGTTGCTCGAGTCTCTGGTGAGAAGTCAGATTGGCATTTCATTAAATTTTAGATCGATATCATACGGCAGCACAAAGTGTTTCATTAGCTCAAAGTGTTGATTATGAGAAAGTAATTTACTGGTGGAAGCAATTTACATTTTAAATGACGAGCAGCGGCCGTCAGACTCTTCTGTGAGCTGCAGCGAACAAACCGTACATCCAGAGAACAGCCAACTTCTAAATGATTGTAAGTGTGTGTCTGGAACACGGCCGCAACTAACAATTATCATCATTATCAATTAATCTGCAGGGTTTTTTGAGATAAATTGAGTCATTTTTTTTAAGGTAAATTAAGCCGTTTTAATTTCACACTAATCGACCGTGACGTCTTTAGATGATTTGTTTTGTCCAAAATCTGAAGATATTCACTTCACTGTCATTTATGATCCAAGAAAAAGCATCAAATATTTAATATTTCTGCTTAAAAATGACTAAAGTGAGGAATCGCTCAATAAAATACTTGTTAATTACGTTGTGTGGATTGTCTAGTTGTTCAATCAGCTGTAGCCTCAAGGCCTTAAATTAAATTAAATGATTAAATTAAAAATCATTCCGACTTTTTCTGTATTTATGAGACGAGGCAAATTTAGTTTTTGTGTAGAGTTGTTCTCAGTGGTTCACAATTAATTAAGTCAACAGAATAAAATAAAATAAAACAGAAAAGTAAAAGTGCAACTACAGAGCAGTAATAAGCTGTTTCTAATTTAATAAAGGAAATAAACGTTCAGAGGAAAGATGTGTTGATTGATTTATAAACTAGCAGCTTCGCTTTAAACTTTATTCTAACTGTAACTTCTAAGAAGCAGTGATGCGTTCAGGTCCTTTGGTTCTCGTAAGGAAACCTCAGATTATTATTTTTAAACTGAACTAAAAAAAGAAGATCAAAAGGGTTTTTGTGGCGCAATGCAGGCTGTTAGTGAGGTTCATTTACATGTCAGCCAATTACTGAGTGGGAGGGGGCAGCGAGCAGGAGGAGAGTGCAGGAAGAAGAAGAAGAAGAAGAGGAGGAAGAGGAGGAGGAGAGTCCGGCTAAAGATGGAGTATAAAGGGTTAAATGTTAAAGGTTAAAGTTCGGGGGGCGGGACCGTGCTTTTAAATTCAGTCTGTGACATTTTCGCTGTCAGCGGCAGGTCAGAGGTTAAGTGACAGGAAGTGGACGAGATGGGGGAGCTGTGGCTGAGGCGGTGGAGGGAGGGGGAGGGGGGGGGGGGGGCTGGGTTAGGGAGGTTATCTTAACCAACTCCTTACCTGATGAAGAGAGAGAGAGAGAGAGAGCGAGAGAGAGAGAGAGAGAGAGAGAGAGGAGAGAGAGAGAGAGGGACAGTGTGGAAATGAAACAAATGAGCGGGCAGTGATGTCTGAGATGATAACAGGGAGTAAGTGGATTTACAACAGCGCTACAGTAACTGATCACTCATCATCATCATCATCTTCATCCCTCACACGAGAAGACAACAGCAGAGCATCAACCAATCAGAGAGAGAGGGGGAGAGAGAGAGAGAGAGGGAGAGAGAGAGAGGAGGAGAGAGAGAGAGTGTGAATGAGCTCAGCTTTTAGTTTGTCAGACTGTTTTATGAAGGATTACATCATCTTTAAAAGACGCTATAGATCCAGACTGATTCACACAGATACACAGATTCTATCAGCTGGATGGAGCGGATCATATGTCGACTGAAAAGTGGCAAGAAACTGTAAAATAAAACTCCAAAAATAAGTTTTCATTTTGCCTGGACTTCAATCTGTTGATATAAAAATACTTAATACTATAATAATAAGTTTAAAACATAGACAGAAATAAACATGTGCCAGTAGATAAGTTATTAAATATATATAGATGATTTACACATTCATTTTAACTTTATAACACAGAGTGGCTAACATCACACACTCCTTCATTTAATGCTCCTTTATGTTACAAAACTGAAAATGTAATTAATTCAAAATATGTTGTAGTTATTTGCTTTATTATTTATTTTACAAAGAGAAATGGACGTCCAGATTTACACGCCGACAGTGAACAGCTCCAATAAAAACAGTCAAAAAAGTATCTGGACTGAAAATCAGGCCGGTGTAAGAAAGTGTGAGAGCGAGTGAACGGACGAGTGAGTGCAAGAGAGAGAGAGAGAGAGGGAGAGAGAGAGAGAGAGAGAGAGATAGAGATAGAGAGAGAGACAGAGAGAGAGAGAGAGACTGAGGGGTGAAGGAGGAGAAATGTCACTGACCTCGTCTACAGCTCTCTTATAGCTCTGACGGACGATGGAAGGAGGGATGGAGAAAAGGATGAGAAGAGGAATGGAGTGGAAATGAACAGCAACGTGGTTAGTTCAGAGAGAAGAGTCAGTGTGTGTGTGTGTGTGTGTGTGTGTGTGTGTGAACATAGTCTGCAACATGTTCTACTGCATATTATTGATCATACAGCAGTTTGAAGGTCTGACGCACAGCTGTCTGTCCTTTATGATCCATAGTGCACGTACATATACACGTGTACATGTGTGTTTGTGTTGTGCACGTGTGTGTGTGTGTGTACTCACTGCAGGCCTGCTGGGTCGCGTCACCTCTCTGCCGTCCTCTTTGGTGTCGTGGGAGGAAAGCGTCGAGCCTTCGGTCTTAGGGGCTGAATTACCTGAACACACACACACACACACACACACACACACACACACACACACACACACACACACACGAGGATTATAATACTGTCAGTAACACACCTGAGACACACTGTGGAACACTGGATGTGTTTGTGTGTGTGTGTGTGTGTGTGTGTGTGTGTGTGTGTGTGCGTGCGTGCGTGTGTGCGTGTGTGTGTGTGTGGTGCTTCTGTCTTTGTGAGGACCAGGTTAAGTTCTACACACTGAGGATGTTTCTGGAAACTGAGCAGGTTTTAAGAAAGAGGATGTTTTTGGAAATTAAAGGTGTTTTTGAACTTTAAAACGTTTTGACATTTCTTGTAAAACTGACGACATTTATTTAGACATTTTAGAAACGTGAAGGTGTTTTTATGGAAAATTAAAAAACGTTTTTTTAAAAGTTACGACACTTTTCATTCTTTGAGAAAAGCTGAGAAAGTACTTTTGGAAAATTAAGGACATTTTCCAGGAAAATTGCTGAGGCTGTATTCACTTACTTTAAGTTTTATTTTTAGTTGCATTATAAATATAAAGTAACAGTTAAGGACCGAGGAGTCATTACATGAACGCCGGTCCTCACAAGTGCAGAAGGACTAAGGTGTGAGTGTGCACCTCGCTCGTTGGAGCCTCCCTGGGAGCTGGGGGTGCTGGAGCTGGAGGAGCTGCCGCTGCTCGTCCTCTTTAGGGGCGTCTCCATGGAAACGTCGATCCTCCGCAGGTCGGGGTTGCTACGGCAACGCAAACACAGCACAGTCTCATTCATGCAGCAAACTGTTGAAATCCTGCTCGAAGACTAAAACTAAAACTGTTTGTTTGTGTGTGTGTGTGTGTGTGTGTGTGTGTGTGTACCTGGCCCGTATGAGGTGAGCTCCAGCCCGAGGACCGAGGCCGGGTCCGTTTCCTGGAGAGTTCTTCCTGACTAAAGCAGGAGAGATGGAGGTCGTCCTCTGAGGAACCTGGAAAACAGATAACGCACCCGTCTGGGTCAGGACCTGCAACCAACCTCGACCTGATGAGATCTCATCAGAGGGAACAGCTGATCTGAAAGATGTCTGGATTCGTGGGCGGTGAAGTTTAATATAAATTTACATTTGGTGTCCTACTACTGGCATTTGGGGGAAGAAACAGGCTCAAGTTGATTGTGCAGTTTTCACTTTATCAACTAATAGTTTTACTGTTCCTGGTTTGTGTCTCTGGAAAGTTCAACAATAGCAACCTTTTATTTCTATTTTTTTCTCACAGCAAAGTGCCTTAAAAAAATCTCTTGGTACTTTAGCTTCACTTTTCCTGTTAATTCACATTTTTAAAAAGCTGTTCAGAATGAAAGCAAATCAAATACTTTAGGTGTGTTGCAAAAGGAAATCTTCAAAGATGTGGGTGAACATGCACACGTGTCAATCTGCACTAGGTGGTGCAATACGAGGCCAAGGTGTGTTCAGGTATTGTGTTATTTTTTGGCAACTAAATCCAGGTGAAAAATTTGCCTCCTTTGATCTAAACACACCTCACACTTTGAGCTGAACTCCAAACATCTGTGAAGCATTTTCCTCGTATAAATTTAGATTAAAACTTTAGTGAAGTACATTCCCTCAGAGAAAGAGATCCTTTTATAAATAGATAGTTAGAGTTATGGGTCAGAGGATGCAGATGTGTGTGAGCCTTTTGTCCAGTATTAAAGTTTCTTTAACTTTTTTACAGTTGGTCGTTTGAGATTAGCATCAACAGCATCAGACGACAGAACATCTTCATTTCTAAGAAAAACAAAAACACAAAAACTTCCAAAACACCCAGAAACTGAACAGACAATAAAACCTGCGCAGACACACACTCACATCACAACAACAGAATTCAGGAAAAAGCAAAGATCTCACAAACACACACTCGGACAACAACACACGGGTGGTGGCATGCAGAGACCTTGGGGGGCATGTCGTCGTCCTGCCGCAGCCAGGAGCTGCGGTCCAGCTTGTCGAGGGGGGGCGCCAGGCGGGAGAGGGGCGGGGGAGGAGGGGTGTCGGAGGTGGGGTCGGAGTTCTGCCGGGGCATGGGAGGCCGGGAGGGGGAGGGCGACGCCGAGGAGGAGGACACGCCGTGGGGGTCATACAGAGACTGGGAGCCTGACAGCCCGTGACTCTTCACCTGCACCAGGTGGGCCATCTGGACACACGTGCACGCACGCACGCACGCACACACACGAGCAGAAAACAGGCAGGGTAGAGGAGGCAGAGCAGGATCAGGATTTGCACAGTGTGATCAGGATGCAAGTCAGGAGGGGTGATGAGGAGGAGGCAGAGAAGGGGGGGGGAGTGGTGGTGAGATGAGGTGAGGTGAGAAAAAAGGTAAAGGTAAGAAACACATTCCTCAGGGTGCGTTCACACCATTCATGTTCAAAAGCCCTAAGTGCTTCCTCCGTCAGTTCATTTAGTTCGTCCCTGTGACGAGGACGAGGTTTCCACTGACAACCCTGAGAACACACGTCTGTCAGGAACACAGACAAACCGGAGCTGTGAGTTTAAATTCAATAAAATCTCAATTTACAAAAGGAAACAACCATAAAGCAGCTTCTCCTGCAGGAAACGTCTCAATCAAAAGCGTCACCTTCAAACGGAGCTCCATGTTAACCACAGCTGTCTGGTATGACACCCTACACCCTGACCCTCGCTACAGACGCTCTCAAGACACTTGGACTCCTTCTCTCCGGGAAGAAACTTTCACATTCAGACGCAGTGAAGACAACACAAACACATCGCCTGCAAACAGATCACCACGGGAGACGCTCGCTCCGTCCACGAAGCTGAACCGGTGACGAGGAACAACAACGCCCATCGAGAAACGGCTTTAACTTCCTGCGAAGAAAACAGACGCGACTCTTCCCTTGGTGGCACAGGAGCAGAGGGTCCCAGCACCTCATGTTCTCTGCAGGAACCTCCACAAGAGAGACCCCCGTCACATCGTTCTTTGTTGTGTCACTTTGCCGATGTAATACTGAAAATGTCCCCACTGTGAGACTAATCGAGGAATCTCTCATCTTATGTTAAATGGCGGCAGCTTCAGTTTCATAAAACGTCTGTCAGTCTCTAACTGCAGAAACATGGTGAGCGTCCCGCAGAGTCACGTGAGAGGAAATGAAACTTGCACGTAGAAAACAGTTTCCTGATCGTTTTCAATGTCAATTATTTTAGTGATGATTTGTTTAGTCGATGCAGAAGGTGACGTCTTCAAACCGCTTGTGTCATCTGACCAGCTGAATCAAACATATTCAACTTACAAGACCACAATGAGACAAACAACTGTTCATTTATTTTGATTTATTAATTTAGCTAAATGGAAACCACCGTCCCTGTCTGCTAACTCAAGGGTGTCACGGTTGAATTCAAGCGTGTGTGTCAGTCCGACAGAACCAGAGCTTTCAGCACCAAAAGACAAATCATCCAGAGTCTGACCTGCACCAGAGAGACGGACAAGGCTTCCAGGTCTGTCCTAGTCCAGAGTTCCTCTTTGTGTTTCTTTCTCTTGACAATAATCCAGGTCGAACTCAGTAACTTTTTCTCCCCTGGTCAAAAACAAACTCACCTCAACCGTCACTCAAACCAGAGCTTGAGTGTGACTGCACCCTGAGAGAGAGGCAAGTTTCTGTCACACGCGAGCGCACACACACGCATATAAAGACTTGGACACACACCTGTGGTTCGACGGAGCGGTGCATGGGCGGGGTCCGGGCCTGTTGGATGCCTCCGCTGCTGAAGGACTCGGAGCGCGGCGGCAGCGACGGGTCTGAGATCCGGTTGGAGACTTTATGCTGCAATGCAGGAGAAGTCTGTCTGTTCATCTTATAATGCTCCTCCACCTGACACACACACACACACACACACACACACACACACACACACACACAGTCACTTAGCATGCAGTGCAGTGTTTCCATGTTATAAACTTTCATGAATGAGTTTGATTAAATCTGTGTTTTCTGTGTCCTGATTTTTAAACTTTACTTCAAACTGTAAAAGAAATATTTAATTCCTGCTGTAGAAGTTTAAATCTATAGAAATGATTCTTTTCTTCTGCATGAGAGATCTAAACATCTGATCAATGATCTGCTCTGACGTCTATCAGCTCCCTGTGGAAGAAAGAGTGAGAATCAGCTGTTTATTCTTTCAAACAAACTATGTAATTTGGCTCCGATACCGTTAAACAGACCTCCAATTAATTTATTCCAATTAACTTTTGCAATTAATTAAAGATGCAACTTGTCTACAGGCAAGTCAAATGTAATCTAATTGAAGATCCAATAAAATTAAAGATAAATGATGAGTTGCTGGAATCAAGAGATAAAAATAACTGAATAAATATAAAATTACATTATTCTTTGAGAAATTAAGAAATTGTGTAAAAATCAACCAGTAAAAATAATCATTTTATTTTTTAAATACTGAGAGACAAATATCACTAAATATTTTTATGGTTTTTAAAATCAGACATGAGAGATTAAACTAAGAAGATTTTAATTGAAGTGCTGCCGCTGACAGAAGTGAAGAGGCTCCAGTGTAATAAAAGCCGCCGTGATTACAGGCGTTAAAGCTGATGAGTGGAGAGTTCACACAGTCATTACTTTACAAAAGCAGCAGATTTTTCAGCTTTAACAGTGTTTACCAGTGTTTTTCAGCATCACCTGCAGTCTCTCAGGGGCTCTACTTTCATGCCTACAGTCACTTTGGAGGAAGGTTACGTTTTTTTAAACGGTGGTCGTCTGTTTTTAGCGAGGAACATTATGTCTGTGTGCGATGGAAATATTCCCTCGTCTGAAGCTTGAAGGGAAATCCTGGGAGGCTGAGATGAGGGTAGACCTATCTGCACAGAGTGTGTGTTTCTATGCCTGCATGCGTGTGTGTGTGTGTGTGTGTGTGTGTTTCCATGCGAGGTGTCCACAGGGAGAGAGACTGATATAGCTGCAGCTGCCCTACATCAGTCCACCAGCTGCCACCAGAGGGCAGGCCTGGAGATCTGCCCTACATGTGTGTGTGTGTGTGTGTGTGTGTGTGTGTGTGTGGGGGGATGTGTTCACATGTTAGCGTGTGCTTTTAAGCGGCCTTGATTTACGGTGATAAGAAAACCGTCAGGGTTCAAATATGGAGCGTTGACCTGCTCTTTCTGCTCTCACGTCTTCTGCAGAATAACACACACTGCTGTGACTTTACTCAGGCTACATGCATCACAGCGTGTGGGGATTTTAAACCCACCTAAAAAGGTTTAAAGTTAAAAGGTAACACACCTTCAACAGCCTGGCTAAGACACATACAAGTGAATATCATGTTTGTTAAGAAAAAAAAAGAAAAACAACCTGGAATTTAAGATAAAGTGAAGATTAAACCTAAAAGAGGAAATCTGATGTTAGTTTGAGTTTGTGAAGTTAGTTCCTGTTAGACATTTGATCCCATCACACCACAACATGCAATAACAGCAGCAGCTCTCAACCTGTTTGGATCAAGGTGCTGCCTACCTGCATCTCACACACCTCGCCTTCACCTTTTATTCCTCTACGTCAACAAACGAAACCCAAGACCACGTGAACGTTCTTAACAGGAAGTGACTTGTTATTGTTTAGCTTATATTATAACAATGGAAATAGAACCAACAGATTGAGAGCCACTGCAGTAGAAGACGAGGACAGTCCCACAAATGCGCAGCACCCAGCCGCGTCAGTCACCTGCAAAATGGAAAGTGAAGGTTAAAGAGGAAGATTAGAAGCTGTGGAGAGGAAGGCAAGACAAGGATGAGACGATGCTGTTTATTTCCAGTAGCTTCCGCACTGTTCGCATGATGCTTGTGTAATTTTTGCACCTGGATTTCTGTTTCTGGACAGTTAAATTGAACTTAAATGCAAAAACGCCTCAAATGGATCTTCTAAAATAAAAGCAACAGATGACATACGTCTCCAAATATTTAAGTTAAGATTAAGTCTTAAAAGTACGTGTTGGCGTTAGCATTTAGCTCAAAAAGAGACGTCCGATTTAATTCAGTTCTATTACACAAGAAGTGAGAGTCAGTCTCAGTTTTGGAGGGAAAATCTTTAGATGTGGTAAGATTGGAGGAAACAGTGTGAATCTAAAACCCCAGTGAGGAATGGAGAGATGAGAGGAGATGAGTAAATTAAAGAAGAGGAGGTCGTGTCATCGTTTGTGCCGGCAGCCGTGAGTTAATGTGGGTGAGTCCTCCTGGTTAGAGAAATAAAACAGTTTAAAGAGATTAAAGAGAAATCATTGCAGCAGCCAGGGTTAGTGAGTCAGGCTGGACAGACCGCAGGGTGAGAGACAAACGAGGGAAAGAACGAGGAGTCTGTTCATCCTCCGACTGACCCGGCGGCCGGGGCTCCGGCCCCTGCTGTAGGGGGTGTGGCCCCTGGAGTCGGGGCTGTGCCGGCGCATCACTGGCTGGGAGGAGTCACGGACGCGTTCGGGGACACAGGTGACACGGATTCGAGGCATGCGCAGGTGATCCCTGGAGGGACTGACGTGGGCGGGGTAGGAGGGGGGACGGGGGCGGGGTCTGTAACCGGGGAGTAAGAGCAGGTTGTCGAGGTTGACGTCTCGCGTCTCCCTGAAGGAGTGGTGTTTCTTGGGAGGGATGCGGGGCGAGTTGCTCTGAGCTCGACGCATCACCTGGAGGAGCAAGGTCAGTGTTCACAAGAGACACAACAACGTGCAGGACGCACAAAAACAAGGCGTTTCCTTCAGGTAACGCACCCTCTGGCAGCCAGACTGGAAGTTCACATGTCAGCTGAGTGTTTCTGAGGTCTGAATTAAACAGATTCGTTTTGGTCGTGATGAAGTATATTTCTGTGATTTGAACCATCTCGATGGTTAAAAACCTGAATTCAAATCGCCATAGCTCATATCTGATCACACGTCACTCTTTCTTGCAGCACGTTACGTTGTAGAAACTGAAGTATTTCTACTTTTACAGCCTAGAGACCGATTTAAACTTCCATGATGGAACTGAAGCCATGGCTACGAGAGGATCTGTTTACGCCAACAGAAACTACATGTAAAAGAGTTTCAGTCAAAAATGGTCGGTGTCAGGTCTCATGAGCCAGAGGCGCTGGATCACACTCTCTTCTCTCTTCTTCTTGTTTTGTTTTTTTAAAAAAGGTAAATATGAGTTTTGGACTGAAACTCTTCACCTGACAGAAGCAGCACATATAAAATATTCTCCTGTTGTTGCACCTGAAGAAGAAAAGAAAAAGAAAGGAATGAGAGATGAGGCAGACTCCTGTCTGCATCAGACTCCAGAGGTCGGGTGACACCTGAAAAGGTAGAAGACAGACACAAACAAGCAATGACACACGTTAACCTCCTCGCTGACTCGCATCAGCCTCTAACTCGGGTTCACCGCGGTGCGTTTGTGTTCTCATGAATGTAAATCTCCCACTTTAACAGCCGACTCAGCTTTGTCGTTGCGGCTGAACACCTGTGCTTGTGTGTCTGTGTGTGTTGTTAGCTACAAGCTGCTTTGTGCCTCAGTGGGTGTCCTCTTGTTCCCACATGCAAACCTGTGTGCTGTTTACAAAAGGCTCACCTGCACCTGCCTCTAAACCTGTGTGAAAAGCCGTCTCATTTCTTCACCGGCCTTTAAACAAATGTATTTTTCAATGTCTCCTCTCACTTTTCACTCGTTTATGTTTGTTATGTTCAGATTTCTTCACTTGTTTTCTCCTCTGTGTGTGTTTGTTTGTCTCAGGCCGTGTGGTCTACCTCTTTGGCCCAGGCGGGTTTGTCGTTGCTGCCTGGCGCCTGGTCTTTGTAGTGGTACAGCTGCTTCTTGTCCTGCGGCGGCCGCGGCGGCTCCTGCTGCTGCTGCTGCAGCGACACCAGGTACGCTCGCTCCTGCTGCAGCTGCCTCTGCAGCCGCTCGGCCTGCCGCTGCTCCTCGATCTGCTTCCTCTTGTACTCCTGCGGACGTCAAACACAGAGCGGAGGGAGGATGAGACGGTGGAGAGATAATAAAAAAACAAACAAGGACGATGAACTCAGCGCACAAACGGTCACGATGAGGCACAAAAATTTACTGTTGGGTCCCTGTTTAAACTCCCACTTTCAGCTCTGAGTGTGTTTTGTTTACACCAAACTTTACATGGCATTTCTTATACTGTTGGTCTTGAGACACACAGAACAACCAAAAACTTGGACTTTAGTATCAACTAAAATAATTCAGCTCTAATTGAATTAGATTTTCATACCCTCACCCCCCCCCACTGCCAAATAAATTTGCTTAACAAATCACATCTGGTTTATGCAGCTTCCCTTTTCCCCACAAGCGAGCAGGGTTGTATCAACAGGACGTCAGGATTACGTAACAATGCAGAATCGGACTCTTGATATTTTGTTTTTGCAGATGGAAAAATGACCAAGAACCGACAGTAAACCACAGGATTTTCAGGCCCCACCCCCCCGGGGGGTTTGAGGACTGATCCAGCTTTAGCTACTGGCCATGAAAGTGAAGGACATTTTAAGAGCTGGAATTATATTTCATCTGAATATAACATCTACTGATCTACTTGTTCCAAATACTGGCTGATAAGCTTCAAAATGAACGTACAGTTTATGTTTCCCTCTGAGGAAAAGATTACAGCTGTAATGCAGCTCTTTGCCTCCATCTTTTCCATTATTTACAGCACATTTATCAAGGCTCCACCTCATGTATTATTGCTGATATAACACTAATTAAGGTCCTGTTTATGGAGGAAGATATCTCCTTTTAAAAAGGTCTACATCTATCCTGGGAAAGAAAACATTATGATGTAGATTTATGACATAAACAGTTTTCTGAAAAGCCAAAATTGAGACACAGTCGAGAACAGTTTCACATAAAACAAAAAAAATATACAAATCAGCATTCAGTCTCAAGCTCAGAGATAATTCACGTTGGAGCATCATTAGACACTAAAACACAACCAGACTGATGAAGTGCTCGTCGTGTCATGAGGGCTAACAGCTTTTCCAAGGTGACCTACTGCACTGATTCACTGACTCACGCATTAGTGCTTTTACATGAAAAATAAATTGATGCAGCCAAAACAGAGTCAGTTACTGCAGGAAACATGCGGAGGAAAGGCTTTCCAGACCCGGCTCTGACAGGAAGTTTCAATATATATGTTTCTTTCATCATATATTATTTCACAGAGCCAGAATTTGTTCATATTTATAAACCGTTTTCATTTTGAAACGACTGGTCAGACTCGAGCCTCAGTTTGAAACTGTGCTCTCTTTGTTTCTCACACCTTGAGCTCTGGCATTTATCTGAGCTGTGTGCGAAAGTCTGCAGCAGCCGATAGAGTGTGTGTGTGTGTGTGTGTGTGTGTGTCCTGGACTGTGGTGATCGTTTCGGGGGGGGGCAGTGCTCTTTCTCCGCCGTCTGCTTTGACGTCATCGAGAAAAGGCCGACAGCATCGCCGTGAACAAACGAAGCTGAATGAGATGTGATTTCAGGACCGTCAGACATCGACCGACACGCCCATCGCTGTGTGTGCTGATTGATTAGATGTTTGTTAACTTCAGTAAGCTGATGTGTGGCTCCGTCTCGGCTCAGCATCGATCCGGGTATTGACCGCCTTCGCCGAGTCACGATTCCGTTAAGTAAACAACAAACGGAGTGACATGAAATCAGTGTCTTGTACCCATTGCTGTTTCCATGGTCACCAACTTTTGAGCTGTTGTCATGGAAATCTTTGGCAATGTTGGTTGGGAAGTTCTTTAATCATGGAGTTGATCATTTTGTTTTTGAATGTGATTTAAATTGAGTCTGGACATGTTGTCATAGCAACAAATCTTTAAACCCAGATCGGTTAAAGTGCATCTTACTGACAGTTAACAAAAGGTTTGTTTTTCTTCTTTTAATAATCAAAGTTTTGATATAATTTTAGATGAGGACAAACGTCTTGTTGTGAAATCATAAAACATACTGCAAAAATAATGGTTAGTAATAAATCTGAGTTACTGTTAAAAAGACCAGACAACACTCACAGTCTGACCACAATGTAGAGCAAAACACCTGGGAGTCTTCCCAACACACCTTCCTCATGTAACTGCAGTCACATGATCAGCACTCAGCCAATCATACGATCACTGATCATGGTTTCATCTCATTTTGTCTTTATTTCAAAATAAGAGCGCACTGTTATTCAGGATAACTTAATCCAGGATTAAACAAATCAATCCTCGAGTATGACACGTGACATTCAAACTGTCCTTCAAATAATCAAATGAGCTGGATGAGAATACACAGGATTATTTTATCCTGATTTCAGCCTGGATTAGTTAAACCACACATGAAGAGCAGGCTCCGGTACCGTTGGTTGATGTGTGTCTGTGTGTGTTGTTACCAGCAGTAAGGCCTGCTCCTGCAGGAGCTGCTGCTGCAGGATCTCCAGCTGCCTCTGCTCCTCCTCCAGCTGTCTACGGATATACTCCTAACCAATCGGCACCCAGGGCCAGAGAGAGACGCAGCCAATCAAAGACCACCGAGGCAGACGAGAAGCAAATCGGAGCCCAGGCAACCAGTGACATCAGCAGAGCAGGAAATAGGAGGAAAAGAGGAATGAAAGAGGAGGACAGACAAAAGTAGATTTATTGAAGAGGTGTGAAAGTAGGGATTTAGTCAGAAATAGACGAGGAGAGATAAAGAGAGAAACAGCAGGGGGCTGTAATTAGTGGAACAGGAGGACTTGCTTATTAGTGGAGGAAGGATGTTAAAGATCACCATGAAATCAGTTGTGCAAGAGGTGGAAATTTATATCTGAAGTAAAAGTGTTACACTGCAGGAAAAGTTAACTATTACTGCAAGTCCTCACATGACTAATTAAAGCCTCCAGTCTCCCCTGTACTGTAATATTTAATGTGTGGTGCTGCTGAGATTCTCTCTCCATTTCTCTCTTCAGACTTGTAATAACATTTGCTTCCAACCGATCCACTGATAAAACTACAGTTACCAAAGTTTTAAAGGAAGTCTCGTGCTTCTCAACGCGGTATTTCTTTGTGTGGAAAACGTCACAAACTAAACTAACCTGTTGATAATCTCACTAACCTCAGATTCATGTGCGGCGTACTGAACTGACAGAGTTTCTTATTCTGCGTCATGCGAAGAGAAAAAGAGGAAATCGCGAACACCAGAGGTCGTATCAGCCAGCTGAGCAGCGAGATTTTGAGTCGAGAGGCCACGCCCCTCCGGATGACGGCACCTGTGATGTAACGTCTTCCAGTCAGGTGTTCTCTTACCTGTTCTCTCTCCGCGTGCCTCCTCTCCTCCTCTCGACGGAGCTGCTCCATCTCTTCGTACCTCCTCCTCTGCTCTCGCTCCTGCTGCTTCCTCATCTCTCGCTCCCGACGCTGTTGCTGCAGGTGAAGGAGATTTCACACATCAACGCTTCAACTCTGTGTGTGTGTGTGTGTGTGTGTGTGTGTGTGTTTGATCACATCAGGTGTGTTTCCCTAGTATCTGAATGAGCCGAGGTGGTGACATCACAGGTGTGGCAGGTTTTGCTGCACAGGCTAAAACAGCAGCAGTGTGCTTCACAGGTTTAAGTTGACTCTTTTACAGGCGTCTCTAAAAGAGCTTGTCATCTTGACATTAACGATGTAGTAGAATCCTTGAGTGTCCTTGTGTTTAGTTCTGTTTTTATGGCCCCGATGTGGCGCTTCAGTCCTCTGGGTTCACAGAAAGTACACAGGGTGTGAATAACAACTTGTGCATTGCAGCCCTTGAGTTCATTTTCTCTGGCATTAATTTTGACACATTGCACGTAGCGTTGTAAATAAACAGCGTGCTAGTTAACCTATGCATGAATACAGTACGATTCCTGTGGGACTTGCAAATTAATCTGCGATTAGAGACGAGATACTGCAGCCGTTTGCAAATCAGTTTCATGAACCGGCTCCTGAGGGATTCTCGCGTTCGCACAGTTGAACATTGATCATCTCCGCTCACCCAACCTGACATTTGGATTTCAGTAGTTTTGTCTATGTGGCTTTCATTTTGAAGAGGTTTTACCTCATCTACCACTGCGCTCTGATCCCACTGTCCTTTGCTTTGCTTTCACAGCTGCTGCTTTTCCACCAAAAAACCACCGGGTGACTTTTACTGTGAAGCTGCAGCCTTAGTCACAGAGGTTAACTCACTGGTCTACAGCAGGATATGGACATTATTATTGGAGGTTTTTAAATATTGCAGGGAAGAGCTCTTTAGATGAAGAGCTGTGGCAGTTTGTGTAAATCTCAAAATATATGACGTGTCATCAAGGTAAACACCTTTTACCAGGCATGTGTCATGTGGAAAAACACCTCCACCATGCTCCATCGCAGCATGAGCGCGGTGCAGGTGGAAATTCTGCATCATTATGTTCTACAGTTTCCCCTCTAAGCATCAGGGATGACAGAGCGGCTTTTGAAATCCCCTGCCTACCTGTGAATAACACCTCCACACGTTTAAATGTATATCTGTCTATCAGTCACAGACCTCCTCCAGCCGACGCCGCTGCTCCTTCTGCTCCTCGATACGTTTTTGCCTCTCGGCCAGCAGTTGGCGCTTGTGCTCCTCGTTCTGCTGCTGCTCCAGCTGCTGGCGCCGGATCAGCTCCGACCGCTCCTTATTGGCCAGCTGGAGACGCAGGAAGTCCCGCCTCAGAGTGGACTCCCCGGGAATGTTAATGATGGAGCTGTGGGAGAGCCAATCAGAGGAGAGTTAGCGGCAGAATTAAACCTGTATATCTTCCTAGCAGTAGCAGTAGCAGTAGCAGTACTGTAGGTAGCAGCAGTTGTACCTGGGCTCGCCAATGTCCCTTTCTTCGTCCTCTTCCTCACTCCCACTGTACTCGTACTCCGTCTCATCTGGAGGAAACAAACACACGGACTCCAGGTTCATGCGTTTACATGCTGATGTTCTTTCTTTATATAACAGCTGACCCCTCGTGCTTCCTCACCCCTCTCCCCCCTCCTCTTCTTGGTGCGGTCGATGTGGTCCTTCAGCTGGATGCGGACCTGCCGCTCGTTGGGAAGGTCCCTGATGAACGGGTGCTTGAGGAGCTGCTCGGTGCTCGGCCGCTGGCTGTGACTCTTCACCAGACAGCTCTCGATGAAAGACTGGAACTTCTTCGACCTGGAAACACACACGTTAGATACAAGACCAGAGGTGGAGGACGTACTCAGACCCTGTAATTAAGTAAAAGTACCAATAGCCAAATTTAAAAGATGCTCTTTAAAGGCCCTGCATTCAAAATCCTACTAGAAAATCACCAGCAAAATGTAAATTATCCAAAGTAAAAGAACTCGTGTCCTGATGCAGAAAGGCGCTTTCCAGAGTGTTAAATTATGGAGCCACCACGGTCCCGAAAGATGATTTCTTTTTATCATATTCATGACTTATTCTCTTTTAAAACAAGGACTTCAGGGTCTCTCCTGTTCTCCTGTTCTGTTGCAGAACAAGCTTCAAGTTTTACATTTATTTATTATCGGTGACGTGAACACCTGTGTAGGTGTGCAGCATATCTATAATAATAATAATAATCACAATTTATACACTGATCATATGTCTGTAACTGTATGTGATAAAGCCTTTAAAACGTGGTGGAGTGTAAAGTAGCAAAAATGAAAATACTCAAGTACAAGTACCTCAGAATTGTACTCAAGTACTTGAGTAGATACTTAGATACTTTCCACCACTGTACATTGATTTGATTATTTTATAGTAATTTGGTACCAGGCTGAAAAGCTGTTTCACTGAAGAAACCGTCAGAGAAAAACTATTAAAATAACATAAATTTAAAGTGTTGTGCAAAGATATTAAAAGATCTGCAGCATTTCTCTATAAGGCGTCTATTAAAAGGCGAAGGATTTAATTTTCAAAGGAAGATAAAAGTACAAAAATATTTTAACTTCATGAATTAAAGACTAAATTACAATGCTAAGAACAATATACGTTATACATATTAGAGCACACTAAGAAAACTGAAAAATTAACAGTACATAAAATAATGTTTCAAAGTCATTGTAAATAAAGAAAATGAAATGAAAATAATAAGTAATTTTTGAAAAAAAGCTGGTTTTGTATTCACGTTTTTAATTAATTACAACAAACAAAACAAATCTGGACACATACTGTGTATTAGTTAGTTCATGTAAAATATGCAAAACAGAGGTTTTTTTCTCTCTCTCTGAGATTTTCATGCACAACATTAAAACTTAAAAAAATCCTTATAAATCCAGTTTAAGGTCCTCATGTGAGAAAAATCAGTTTTCCAATTTTAAACCAGGTTGCTCATAATCCTTTAAAACTGCACCGTCACGCAAAAAAATGGGTTTAGATTGTGTTTGGAATCAGATTACAGCTGAATGTGGGAAAGTAATCGGTTTACCACAGCGCACGTGAACACACCACAATCACAAAGGGCCAGAGGAGGCAATAACGTGATACTGACACTGGAAAATAACCAGAGAACGGCAGAACGGAGCAGGTGCAGAGGAGAAGTTACTCCCTCAGTGTCAGTGGCTGTTGGACCGTGTGCAAGTGTCTCAGCACTAAGTGACTCACCACTTCTTAGACTTGAGTCTGGGGGCAGGATTTCTGGGGATGAGGAAGAGCGCTCGCATCGGATGCATGTCACACAGAGCTGAGGAGGCGAGAGAGGAAAGAAGAGGGGAGGATAAAGTGAAACGAAAGGGAGGGAAGGAAAAAAATAGAAGAGAGGAGATAAGGGGAGAGGAGAAGGTAAAAGAGGAAGAAGGGAAAGGAAACAAGACAGGAGGAGAGGAAAGGAAGCGAGGACACAAGAGGGAAAGATAGGAAAGAAAAGGAGAGGAGAGGAGAAAGTGAAGAAAACGAAAAGAAAGGAAACAAAACAAGAGGGCAGGAAATGAGAGGATAGGAAAGGAAAGGACACAAAAGGACAGCAGAGGAGAGAGGAGAGGAAATGAGAGGAAGAGGGAAAGGGAAACAAGACAAAACAAGAGGAGAGGAAAGGAAGCAAGGAGACAAGAGAAAAGGAGAGGAAAGGAAAGGAACAAGAGGAGATTAGACAAGAAGAAAGGAGAGCAGAGGAGAGGAAAGAAGAGAAAGAAGGGGAAGGAAAAAAGACAAGAGGAGAGGAAAGGAAGCGAGGAGACGAGGGGAAAGGAAACACGAGAGAAAGGGAAAGTGAGAGTAGAACAAATCAGACACAGAGTTTTAACTTGAAGATAAACTGCACTCTGTGTCGGCTGACAACAGTCTAACAGTCTGATGTTTCACACTTACGTGGTGCTCCCTCCGCCATCTCTATAGCTGTGATACCGAGCGACCACAGATCACTCTGCAGAGAGAGAGAGAGACAGAGAGAGAGAGAGAGAGAGAGAGAGAGAGAGAGAGAGAGTTTCACTGAAAACTTTCACATCCTCAAAAGGTGTTACCGACTCGACACGTCATGTTTTTGGGAGACCGGTCCGCTGGTCAGTGTACGTGTTAAAGGATAAAAATACAGACACAGAAATTACCCATCTGTCCCTGCTGCTGTAGATTTCTGGCTTCATTCTTTTACATTTTATCAACATCATCTCTCTGTTTCTGCTTTTAAATACGATTCATCTGCGTATTTTAGCCAACAAACTATTTAAAGTTGACGTTAATGTTGTGAGATGAACCGAGGGGTTTTCTTGACACGTAAAGCCCCAGAGGGGGGGAGTTAATGGTGTCTTAGCAGAGCAGTGCTCATCCTCCACGGGGACTCATCCTGTCCCCATTACTGCACATCCGTCACACGGCGCTGACTGCAGGAGTGGCTCTGAACGCAGCACGTTCAGGGTTTTCACTCGTCGCTGCGAGGAGACTTCACACGGGTTTGTGCAGTCGTGTGGCGCCGACCACATATTAAATGTCTCCAAAAAAAAAAAAAAAAAAAACACCAGATATGATCCCTGAGACCTTTCAGAGATTTTTTTTTTTTTAAAGGTCAGCTGGTTTTACTTGTTACAGCTACAAACACTTTGACTGTGATTGATGAGAGAAACTGAACTTTGGGAGCTCGACGAAGGCAATCAAAGAAAAACCACCAAAAACTTTTCTTTAACAAATCAGTGCAAATGTTTAGATTTCTCTCCGTGGTGTGTAAAATAACAAAGGGCTCCCTGCAGGTAATGTCAGGACGAATGACGGCTGACGTTGACATTCTGTCGGTTTTCAGTTGTGTTGTTGAGTAACCAAAAATCCAACGTCTCCCGAATGTCTCACGCCAACGCCATCTTGACATATAAAATACAAACATCCTACATCTGCAAAAACGTTCAACATTAATCAACAATTAATCTTTAGCTCTCTGCAGCTTTTAGCCTCTTTTAGCTCATTGTTTTGGTTCTGCAGTTTTACATGTACATAAGTTTAAGGTTAATTTCAAACAGAAATGACAGCTGTCAGCATAAAGTATAGGAAATAAATACACAATAAAATGAATAATAAATTTAAAAAACATTAAAATATATTCCATAATAAAAACACTAGAATTAAAACTATCTTAAGACAAATAAACACTTTCAAAGATGGTAAATTACTTTGTTTTCCTCTGCATTTCATTCAAACACACACTTGAGGTCTACCTTGAAGTCGTATGTGGCGTCGGGGTTCTCATCACAGGCGATGACCTCCGGGGCCATCCAATAAGGCGTCCCGATAAACGTGTTCCTCCGTCCCACCGTACGATCCAGCTGAGCGCTCACTCCAAAGTCGACTGCACGAACACCAATCACAGAATTAATATATTGATGTAATCCGACTATATTCTCATAACTCATAAGATTCGCTGTGTGTGTGTGTGTGTGTGTGTGTGTGTGTGACCGACCTAGTTTAACCTCTGCGTTCTCTGTCAGCAGCACGTTCTGGCCTTTGATGTCCCTGTGGATGACCTTGTGCTGGTGGAGATGGGTCAGACCCTGAAGACAGAGAGAAAAATGTATATGTTCTTTTTCCAGCTGATACCACAAAAGGAAAGGTTTGTTATCCTCCTTTAATCAGAAGAAAATACCCTGTAATACATCACCAATAAAATTAGGATTAAAAAAAGTCATAAAAATACTGTCTATAGTTAATTATACATAAAAAAAATAACCATCATGCAACTCCTTCAGTTGTATTTGATTACCACAAATAACATAAGAGTATTAGCTTTAAAATAAAGGAAACCCCCAGGAGTATGAGTGTTACTGTTAAATATTTATTGCCAATTATCCCTCAAAAATGTTCCTACATATAAACCTATTATCAAGATGTATATTGTATAATATAGTGGATATCTAATTGCTAAAATGAAGGACTAATATAACAGAAAGAATATTCCTCCATGGTATATGGTAATAACAGGAGATGAGTAGCACATGTGTCATTAAAAGAAAACTAAAGAAATAAATGCAAAACTACCTGAAATATAAAGGGTAAAATTTGGGTGTTCCTCAGGGAGAAATCCTGGGTTTTCTTATTGTTGTAAAGTTGTAAAACTATATTAATCTAATAGATTTTATAAAAAAAAATGTAATAATAATATTTAATTTATTTCAGTTTCCGTCCTCACCCTGAGGATCTCCCTGCAGACGTAGGCGATCCACTCCTCCTTCAGAGAGTTCCCTTTGGTGTTTTTGATCAGGTCTGTCACTGAGCCGGCTCCACAGAACTCCATCACCAGCTGCGCACACACACACACACACACACACAATGTTCATGCTTCCTGGCCACCGTACATCCAGATATTATGGGACTCATTATTGTAATTTGAACAGAAATTAAGATAAGGATTATGATTTGGGAACCGTCGTTAAATACGAGTCCTGGGAACGTAGAATGGCTTCATAGATAAATATAATCCTGTGCTTTAAACTACAGGGGGGCTAAAGAGACCCAGCTGACCCCGGTGTAGAGTTAGTCTGACTGTTGGTCATAAACCTCTGAGCTCCGAGATGTACGCACCCACAGCTGGTCATCCATTCCAGGAGGGTTCTTCTTGATGAAGGCTCCATAGTAGGTTGCGATGTTCCTGTGGTGGCTGTACTTCTTTAACATGTTGATCTCTGCTTTAATCTCCTCCTCCTCATCCTGACACACACACACACAGAGACACAGAGACACACACACAGACACACACACACAACACAATGCTAATAAGCAAATTGTGTGCTCAGTGAAATGTAGAATTGAATCCTGCAGCAAATCAGATAAAGAAGAAGAAAGCCCCTCCAGCAGAGTCTACTGAGGACAAACTGCTGCTGCTCAAGTGCCCTGAAGCCAGGCACGCTCAGATACACTCAGTCCCAAGGTGTGTGTGTGTGTGTGGGTACGTACAGATTTATGTAAGTGTGTGTGTGTGTGTGTGTGTGAGTGTGTGTTACTTACTCCTGTGACGTCCATGACCTTGATGGCAGCGAGCTGGCCTGTTTTGACATGGCGACCCTGAAAGTTAAATCGACAGAGACATTGATGAGCATCTAAAACAAAAGTTTTGACAACAACTTAATCATTTAGTCTGCGTGCGTGCGTGCGTGCGTGCGTGCGTTGTCACACACATGCACTTAAATATATCAGTGGTAAAGAAACACTCCTCTTGCAAACTGACACACAGCACAAACGCCTTTATAAAATGCCTCCATTAATTTCCTGAGATACGACATAAAGAAATGTTGATTATCTTTATTCATGAGTTCTTCAGAACTGTGCACGTATGTGTGCACATATATAACAGTTCTAATAGCTTGTAATCAATCATTAACAGGTTCTAGTTGCACAGCAAACTGGTATTTACACCCTGAGAACTGGATGTATTAAACATATTCACAAAACAGGCTGAAAGAAAGCAAATAAGAAAAGAAGAGCCTGAAATGATTAGTGTCGATGCTTCCAGTAAATGAGGTAATTAGACGCAAAAATTAGGTAATAAGATAATTGTTTCCTATCAGTGATTAACTGCTGTATGACAAACAACAGGCGATCCGTCTCAAGACACACAAGGGAGGAGAAAAACTGCAGTTGCAGTTCTGCAGTGACTAGACATTATTTTGCAACCGTTGACCTGAAATGCACCAGATTTAACTCTCAAACTGAAACCACAGTCCTGCCTTCACTGAGCGGCTCTCTGTGTGCTGACACGTTCCATCATCTGCTGCAAAACATCCGTCACAGCGAAAGGTAAAAGGTCGAAATGAAGGTTTAATATTAATCAGGGAAAGACTGATGTAAATTTAAGGCTGTGTGTGTGTTTAGATTCAGCTCTGATGTTGAAATGAATCACGGCTGCATCCACTACTGTGTCACGTGACTGCAAACCAAACTATGCTGTAGTGAAACCACACTGCTTCTCTTTCTTTCTTTAAATACAACCACAGAGAATAATGTACAACAGCTGGGTGACGTGACGTGACACAGCCGATATCACGGTTTCATGTGACGGAGGTCAGCGCAGACGAGAAGATCGATTCCCACCTTGAAAGCTGAAATCGATTGCGATCACCTATTAATGATGATTAGCTCCACAGGCTGTCTTAAAAACAACAGATCACATGTTAAACGCCCCTCCTGCTTATGAACCCTGCAGAACTCTACGTACGAAACTGCAGCTCTTATATTTCCTCCCATGTTTCCTGCTCTTTAATCTGTCGTCAGTCTTTTCAGTTTGTTTTGATGTTTAAGTGCTTCTCTGTCTTTGTAATCGTCTGGTCCCAGACCTCTGAAGCGCCACCCACATCTCCTGTTTCTGAGCTGATCTGAGCTTTTGTAGGCGGGACTGAGAACAAGGGACGCCATCTTTTTGTTGTAGGAAAAAAAAAAAAAAAAAACACTGACAGGAAAACCAGTGACACGTAGATTAGACGTCTGCAGCCTCACAGCTTTGTTAGACTGTGTTTTTTTCTGATTCGCGGGACGACATAATCTGTCTGTGGCTCGCCAAAACCGTTACTAATCACGTCAGAAAAATAAAATCTGATGTCACAACGCTACGGTTTTAGATGTGGTTGAGGGTTAGGCACAAAAACAACTTAGCTAGGTCCAGGGAAACATCACGGTTAGGGAACCTTCATCACCATGGTTAACATTAGGGATAGATCATGGTTCTAGTAAAAACAAAAACAAAACAGCGCTGACTCACAGTTGGAAACAGAAAACGAAAAGTACAACACCCACTACAGATTAATTAGGGCCGACTACACCCGCCAAAATAAAACTCCAAAAATCCAATCTGATTATCAGGCTCCAACTTACAATTTACTTTCCTGTGTTTGCTTGTCACCTGAACACATCATGTTCAACTGTCCTGTAAACACACGTCACGTTATGCAAATGAGCCGGTGACTAGTTGCAGCTCTCTTTAATCTGATTTATTTCTACAAGCCTGAACAAATAAAAACCAACAAAATATTTTCCTATTTTCCTTTTCCTATGTGCTACCCCTCAGATTTTTCTTGCGACCTGTTGGAGGGGTCTCGACCCGCAGGTTGGAAACCAGCGCTGTACAGAGGTTGAAACTGTAACTGAGGAAGCTGAATCTAAAGTCTGAAGACGGTATCACAGCTGTAAGAGCGAGAAAGTGGAAATTCAACCCCCCCCCCATCACACACACACACACACACACACACACACACACACACACACACACACACACACACACACACACACACAGACACCACTTCCTCACAGTAACCTAGCAACAAGCCTGGCAGGTTGTTTAGTGAGGGCGACGAATGGGGGGTTGGAGGAGGCAAAGTGACGGCGGAGTGCGTTTGTGTGTGTGTGTGTGTGTGTGTGTGTGTCGGAGCAGAGGCCATGATATTTCACACTCTGGGTCACTTGCACATGTGAGTCGCTCAGATTCACACGCACACACATGCACACACACACACACACACACACACACACAGTGTCTTGGTTACTCGGTGTTGCATCAGACACTGACTGTATCAGAGAGGCTGAAACCACCTCAGAGTGCGGAAAGTCTCTTGTTCTTTCTTTCACATCTGTCTCTCTCTCTCTCTCTCTCTCTCCCTCTCTGTCTTTCATCTTTTATTTTTTTTTCCTGTGTAATATCACTCATTCCCTCTGTTTCTCTCTCATCATTCATCTCTCAGTCACGGTGCAGCGGCAGTTTTCGGGGGAAGGTGGGAGAAGATCAGGTCTGAGACAAAAACAAGGACGCACAGAAAACCGTCTTTCATTTTGTGCTCAATCAAACACTGTTGTCAAACTCACTCTGCGTTCACCACAGTGATTATAAAAGTGTAAAGACGGAGAAACTATTAACCGGAGTGATGGCAGACGGCGTATTGGAGCCACATCGAGGGGAAAAATAAAGAAATAAATATAAATAAAGTCGTAATTTTGAGAATAAGATCATAATATTTCAAGGAAAAAGTCACAATATTACAGGAATAAAGTCGTAATTTTATGAGAAAAAAAAAGTTGTAATGTTCAAGAATAAAGTCGGAATATTAAGAGAATTAAAAATGTAAAATTACAAGGGCTGCTGTTTGTCTGACTAACAACAGAATCGACTCAGTTTCTTCACAATCTTTTCAATGTCCTGATGATGATGATGATGATGATGATGATGATAAAGAACCACTTTATTCTCAAAATTTGAGATTTTTCCCCCCTAATACTCTCACTGTGTCTGATGATTCGATTACGTGACAGACGACACATCAGACCTCGACCAATCGCAGCTCACTGTTATTTACAGTGTGTGTGACAGTCACGCTGACGGTGAGTCATAAGTTACCGAGGACTTCGCTGTCTCGGATGACAGAATGTTAAACCGGGGTTAAACTGGAACCGTTGGCGCTGACTGGGAGGTGAAGGTGGACTCAGACACACTGTGAGTAAAGGAGGGTCAACATTATGAGCTGGAATTAAATAAATATAAAGAGCCTGACCCGAGGGTGAGAGTCCAACAGTTACAGACTCGCTCTCTCTGGTGAAACTACACTTGATTGGCTCTGGACGGACTGCTGAGCCAGAAAAGAACATTTAAATAAAATACCAAATTTCACATTTTTATTATTTCTATTTCTTCTGCACTAACTGCTCTTCACTGGCTTCTGTAACTTACTGCATCATTAACCTGTCAGGCCGTTCCTGCGGGTTTACTGTCCACATTCATAAGATAAATGAGCATCTACGGCGCTGGATATTAAGATTTGAACTTCTGAAGCTTAAAACTAAGTTCATTTATTAGCTTAAAAGTACAAGTGTTTGAAGTTTTACCAGCAAGGCAGCGTGTGTCCTTAGTGTCCAGCTACACTCTCTTCTAATAACATGCTGATATCGAGAAGGAATATGTTGTATCACCTTAGTTTAGATAGTTTGCTAATTAGCACTGAGTACATCTTTGCAGGTATTGAAATACATTTTCTAGTCGATGATGAAACGAACGGTTTTTACGTTTCATCCTCTGAGGAGCACGAATGTCCGGATCAAATTTCATGGCGATGATGATCCATTCAGTAACTGTCAAGATTTATAATGAAAACTTAACATGCTAACTTCGTGTTGGCACTGAAGAAAAAAGTCCGGGACCTGGATTCATCCTCTGGGGATCACCAGAAGACAGACAGATCCACATGCAGCACCTACAATGTTCAGGCCTTCTGGTTTTTATTACAGGTATAGTGATCTTTAAGATGAAGCTTGCCACAGGTTGTAGATATTTGCTGCTTCCATGGTTTTACTTACTGACTTTCATGAATAAAAGTCACAACCAGGTGTTTTAGTTCGAGATTTGTGGGGAATCTGGGATTCACTCAGCAGTGTTATAATCCAGATAACTCAGTAAACCCGGTGCTTGGACGTCAGGTTAAGTGTGTGAAGTGCTGCTGTGACTGAAGGACAAACGGCAGCGATCCACCGCGATGAAGCAATAAAAGGCGAGGCAGATAAACCAGGGGAGATGAGAGGAGGAGATACCGTCTCAGAGAGGCTCTTTGTTTTGCTATCGCTCTTCCTCCGACACTGATGGCCGGCCAAACAGTCTCCCAGAGGTGACACCGGGCTCCCAATGTGTGTTTGTGTGTGTGCGTGTGACAGAGAGAGATTATGGCCATGAGGAGGCTGTATTAAAACAGGAGCTGAATCCTCTCACACACACACACACACACACACACACACAGCGAGAGAGAGAGAGATAAAGACGGCGGCAGAGCGAGAGGAGAGGGAAGTGGCAGGTGAGGAGGAGGTTTGACTGGAGATAGAAAAGGGCGTAATATCCTTTAGAGGCAGCCTGAGGCGTAGAAACACACCTCGAGCCCCGTGTTCAGACAAGCCTCACATTCCTCACCTGAACACAAGCCCTGACACATTAAGACTGAGACAGAAACAAACACGCTGAGTTTCCAGCCCTGGACTGTAATATCACAGCTGCACTGGAAACAGCAGATCTGGGACAGTTTTCAGTGTCTGATTATGACAGAAACGCAGGAAGTGACTGTAAAAGGATTAGAAAAAAACGTCATACATGCTGTTGCTCCCGTTTATAAAGAGGCTGTTATCATTTTAAAAACCAGTAGTTGGTGCATTAGAGGCTCAATAGAAAATGGAAAAGTGTTTTAGCAGCACATTCATCTGCACATAAAAGCTGGAGCATTAAAACCTGATTTCTTGTGCTATATTTTTAAATTGCTGTTGCAGAAAACTGGGGTTTAATGCCAGGAAGTGAGATCCCAGTATTCCCAAGAATTTTCAGGGTAAAACACTGGCATGAATCCCGCCATTCTCAGCATGTGTGTGCTTGTGTTGTCTGCGTGTTAGCAAAATGACAAATGCACCAAAGAGGCCTGCTCCAAACCTGACTTTCGCTGCTATGCAAACGTCATAGCAGCAGTTTTCCTCCAGTTACTTTTCATGCAAAAAAAAAAAATGGCAGTTCACAGTTGTGTGCTGTGTGACAAGAAGGTTTTTCTAGTGTATGCATGAAGTGAGCTGGTGTCTGTTGAGGCTGTTATCAGGGCACGTCTGAAGGCAGACACTCAGTGGTGGGGTGATAATCCTCCTGCTATAGAGGGAAAATGGAGATAACGGCGTCAGACAGTCTGTCCTGGAAGGTTTTCATGGTGTTGCATGACTTTGTTTCAGGAAGTTACAAAAATCATCAGACGCAGCTACAACTACAAGCTGCTTCATCAACCTCCCGGGCCTCCATCAGAGAGCAGTGGTCAACAGGTGGAGCGTTAACAGCACAAGACAGCCTGTGAAAGCTACAACAGATTGAAGTTCCCGTGTCTCAGAGCTCCACAACAACAACAACAACAACAACACACAGTAATGGCCGCATGTGATGAGTTTTCCTTCCCTGCTAATAACCTCAGGTCAGCGCTGTGAAGATGCTCTGACGCTTCCATGGATGAATCCAGCTCCCTGATCTTTTTTCTTCAGTGTTTTAAATCTTGACATCTACTGAATAGATCACCATGAAATTGAAATGTGATCCTGACAACTCGCAGATGTTGTCGTTTTTGCACATCTGTATGCGTGTTCACAAGAGAACAACACCACATACGAAAAAAAAATAACACTTCTCTGTAGCTCTGTGTTGAAATTCAAACCTCATTTATAATGACAAACGCCTGTTTTTCTAAGGGGAAGAATGCATCATGCCTGAGAAATGACAATTTTTAAAATAATGGAAAAACACTGAACCCTAAAAAGCAAAAGGCTGCGACAGAGAGAAAAACACCAGATTCAGATTTTTTCCTTTTCTTCTTCTATGGAGCGGTGAGTTCGCATTCTGAGCTACATCAAACATTTCCGTTAACGTCGTGTTTGCAGCTGATTGAGAATAAAAGCCGCCCAGCTGCCGGGCCTCTGAAGGAAATGAGACAGGAATGAGGAAGGACACATTGCTGCAGGGCTCTTGAACCTGATCTTGTGCCTCTGCACGGTCTCACCTCAACGCCTCCAGCAGAGACGTCAATTTATGGCGAGGTTTTCGACACGTGAACACCAGTTAAATGTGTCTCACTTTCATTATATACCTGAAGCTATCATGTTTACATTCATACATAAAAGAAAGATATTACAAATCACGTACTGTATTTTCTCTATTTCAGATAGTCTGAACTAATTGACAGGAGCAGAGGAAAGCTGCAGCGAGACGGATCAGAGATATTCAAAGCAGCAGGTTGAAGAAGCCTCTGAGTTTGGATCAATATAACAAGTTGAATTAACTCCACTTTGTGAACGCTGATTCACTGACTAATCAAATCCAGAAAGACTCTCAGCGAGTTAGCACCGCCTCCTCATTGGATGAAGGTTGGGGCTTTTACACACCTGAGTGTGATGGAAAGGTCACGTGTGCTTCACCAGCTGCACATGTGCTGATTAGCACGACATCAGATCCTAAACTTACTCTCTGGATATCGGCAGCAGCAGCTAAATGCATCAAACCTGCAGTGCATCTTTCACGCTTTATCGCTCTCTAAGAAGTCACAGTCTTCCACCATCATTCAGATATTTCTTTTTTATTGCTCGCTCACTCTCTGTAACTGTGAAAGATTACTAAAAAAACTGGGAGCCAGGAGGGGAGGCGTGAGCGGCCCCCGAGTGTAGAGAAACGATTTGAAAGCTGCTGGAAAACGTTGGCAGGGAGAATGAATGAAAAATATTCTGCTCTGGGTCAAGAAAAAGTCACAACGACGGAAAGTAACCGAGTATTTTCACTCCAGTGCTGCAGCTTCTGGACGACTTTCTGCTTGTGCTTCTACTCTTTGTAGCAATTTCCCAGAAATCAGCACATTATTGCAATTTCTTATTACGTTTTCCTGGAAGGAATGATGTAACTTGGCACTAATTATAGAGAAAATGGAGACACTTCACATTAATTAATTCTAATTCATTTCTATCTTAGCCCTGAGAGGGTCAGCTGAAGTGCAAGAACGTAGAAAACCTTGAATATTTACACAGATTTCTGCCTGTTCTTCCTGTTATTTAAATATCTTTTATTTATGTAGGACAGTATTAATCAAACAATAGGCTCAATCCCGATTATTTATATTCATAATTACTGCAGTTTTTTGATCTGGAGTTGTTCCTATAGTGGCTCTCCTTTGCGCTCCTCGTTTGCCATTTTCTAGTTTTCCTGCCCCAGTTTGCTGCTGCTCTTAGAGGCTGTAACGAAATCAGTGACTGTATCTTTTAAAAGTGGATTTTTCTTTTTTCAGTCCAAGATCTTAATTTACCCACCATGCTCAGTGATCGACCTCAGCGTGTATTCATTTTGTTCTATCAATCATCTTGGCAAAGGAGGCGTCACCTCGTAGAGACAGCGGATCAATACCGAACATCCAGCAGACAGAACGAGTGTGTCGAGGCTCTGTGTGCATCAGCAGACGTGCGAGTGTGTTAATTGCTTTCAAAATGAGAGAATCACAAACACAGGAACACACACACACACAAGGGCTCTCGGCTGTGTTGCTACAGTCTGCGTGGGCGTCTTCCGGTCGCCCGACAAAAGGAGAAAGTCGGTAGAAACTTCACTTTTTGCCCCAAAAGTTTGGATGTTGTCGACTCTGTGAGCTCGTGTCGGGATCAGGAGGAGAAGAGGATGAGGTGACTCCCCGCTGAGTGAGTCACCAAATCCCAAATCACACTAGCAGCAGACACTTACAGGCCAAAACACATTATCTTATCCCTGAAATGCACAGGGTCAGACAGCAAGTGTTTCTAAGGGGTTTATTAATGGGCTGAGTCATGACAGGTAAAGGGTTATTTACAGGATTATTAAGGAATTATCCCAAATGTTTCCAGCAATTTTCAAAACCAGAGAAATCCATAATTTGAACGCTCTGTTTGATTCGGTTGCCTGTCAATGACGTCATATCACCTTTGTGCATGTGTCAGCAAATTAACGTTTTATCCAGTTTTAAATCACATTTTTAAGATGTATTTTTTACATTTTGGTCAGTTTTAACATGATATTTTAACCAGATGAAGGATTTTAATCATTGAACGTCTGAATCTTAAGTTATCAGAGAAACAAGCTCGGCTCACATTCCCTCTGAGACACAGATGAATCACGTATTTTTTAAGGTGAAACGGTTTTATTCATTGTTTTTTACTGGTTTTAATCCCCTGCTCTGTTTGTTTTGGAGAGGATGAGACCGCTGTGGGAAATTCAAGCAGCACAAAAAGCTCCTGAATGACTCACACTGAAGGAATCCTAACCGGGAGAAGCTGACATACTGACGGCAGCGGTGGTGAAGACAACAACTCCCATGATCCCACACGTCACCATGACGTCACCAAATGTTGTCACCAAATGTCGTCTTCTGTCTTTTGTCCTGTTTCATCTGAATGTCAGATGGTTAAAATGACAGCTACGGACTTAATCAGCTGCAGCTAATTAACCTTAATTCTGTAGCAGCTAAAATGAAAAGTAATGTGCTCAGCCAAAGATTGTTTATGAGTGAAGACACATCACTCTGTAACACCGCTGTACAACCAACAGGTAACTGGGTGTTTTTGTAGTTCAACAGAAGTTAGTCCCAGTTAATTTTTTTAACGAACATTTCGTATATTCTGCCTCACGCCTGATTATCAGGCTGTTTGTGCAGGCTGTAAAAGTTTCTGATCAATTCTGAGGCGACAAAAAGGTGATCAGACATCTTTGAGTTGAGCCTTTGTTAGATTTGATACGATTATTATTATAAAATAGTCTCTGTTCCTCACTCCCTGAACGCTTTCATTATATGATGAAGGGGATTCATGTGCGAGATGCTGCAGTGCATCATATAAATATGAGCTTGTTTTGGCTTCACGCTCATACACGGCAGCGTGGGAGTTAAAGATTATAAAGTCTTACCTTGTAGACCTGCCCATAGGTTCCATTTCCAACCAGTTCCACCAGCTCAAAGATACCAGCTGGGTCCTGAGAGAGAGAAGGTAGAGAAGAAGAGAGGAGAGGTTAGAGGAGAGAGAGAGAGAGAGAGAGAGAGAGAGAGAGAGAGAGAGAGAGAGATAGAGAGAGAGAGGTAGAGAGAGAGAGAGAGAGAGGTAGAGAGAGGTAGAGAGAGATGAATGAGGAGGAGACAGTGAGGAGAGAGAATGGGGACAAAATGGAAAAGTTATTCAAGGGGAACATAACTCTGACTAAAGTGGGCACAAGATGGATGTTGGTATTTAATGTGGAATTTGACCTTCACTCTCTCACACACACACACACACACACACACACACACACACACACACACACAGACTGCATACCTGTGGTATTACCTTGTAAAAGCCTTTCTATATCACCACACTGCACTGACACGACCAGGTTACGGTCGTCTTTCTGCAGTAATCTGATTTCTTTATCTTCATACAAACAAGAAATCTCAGTTTAGAAAAATCTGAATTCTGTAGAAAACTTTCTGGACACATGACGACGTAACCAGGTTTCAGAGACGTCAACTCGTTTCAGAACAATCAAAAGAGTTGCAGTACGATGGAGGTTAGTGTGGATTAAAACTGCAGCTGAGTTTAGTTGTGTATCGGTCTAAAATCCTTCATTATGCAGAGAGCAACCATTGACAAAGACCAAGGAAAAGCCCACACAGGATAACTGTGGCCGGATCAAGGCCAGCAGGCAAATTCAAACACACACACATACAGGTAAAAACACACACATAGCTACACACAGCCACACACAAACACACACATAGCTACACACAGCCACACACACACAACTACACACAAACAGACACATGAGATAATCTTATCTCCAGGCTGATTAAAATACACTAAACCTCCCAAAACACAGATCTTGATCTTGAAGCATACCTGTGTGTGTTAGGTATTAGCATGCGTGTGTGTGTGTGTGTGTGCGTGTGTGTGTGTCTATTAACGTACAGTAGGCCACAGGAGAGCGTTGGGACTATTAGAGTGGAGCCTCCTGAAGGGGATTAGCTTAAAAAGCAGCATTTCTTTTCACTCAAGGTCAAACAGAAGCACATCTAATCCTGAAGGACTGAGACTCACGTGCACACACACATGCACACACACACACCTGTACATGCCTGTTACAGCTCTTACCAACTGTGGGGCCACATGCAAAAGAAAAACACCAGTCAAGAGAAAAGGAGGCTAATGGAAGCTGGCCCACCTGCAACTTGCTAGCGGCTAGGTGGCTAATAAGATTTCCCACTGCACAAATTTGTCCCCAAAAGCATGAATATGAAACCGTGTGAGTCAGCTCCAGTTTTATACTAGACAGTAAAACATCCTGGGTGGTTTTAAATAACAAAAAGCTGTCAAGCTGAGACGTACAGTAGGAACTACTTAAAGTAAATTTGAAATGTAATTTATTTCAAAATCTGACTTCACGGAAACTGATAAAAATGTTTTTCCAAGGTTGCTGGAGTTCTACCACCATCATCCGCCATTTTTCCACCTTTTCTTCACACCTTTCTGAACTATTGCAAATGTATGCTAAGATTTAACTAATTAAAACACTTGGTTAAGGTTTGGGAGTGATTTTTAAAAAGCTGAATGTTCATTTTCAGGTACGTTACATCCAACGCTGGCACTGAAAGTCGACGCTGAACATCAGCTGTTGTGCAAAATCGTTCAATATGGATGTACAGTAATTCCTCCAATTGGTTCTGAGGGACTAAAGTGTCTGTTAACACCTACAGCCGACGGCTCAACACAAGGTGTCATTTCAACTGAGCATTTTCCTGTTGTAAAGTCCATGCAGCTAAATTTACATCTCGCAGACGGTCACAGATGCATAAACTATGACTTTTCGGTTTTTAACCTGTGAGGACAGACTCTCAGAAACCGAAGAGTTCAGACAGTTTTACTGGTTAAATCCTGGATGTTATGCTTCAGTTCTGAGCCTCTGTACCTACAGCAGCTTTGCACATACAATATTTGGATGCAGTGGATAATCCTAATAAGCATTTTGGACACTCAGGATCATCTCCAAATCAGTGATGTGGACAGTATGACAAAACTACTGGCGTGTTTACAACCGGTGAAGTCACGTCACTGGTGGTCCTGACCTGTTGGACTCTCAGCAGGGAGGGTATGACCACGACCACGCCGTACATACAACTGTTTTCTTAAGGAGAGTATTAAAAAAAGAATTCCCTCCTCCTCCTGAATGGATTCCATGTTGTCTGAAAAGGACATGGGCTAACAGAGAATAACAAGGCCGTGACCTCTGTGTCCTCATCTGGAGCTCTGTCAAGACTCCAACGGATATTAATACCATCCCTGGCCAGAGCTATCAGAGGAATACACCCTCAGTGTCTGACATATTTCAGAATAGAGTCTGTCGGCGTGGAGGATGAGGACTTCAGCCCTGATGGGAGGTACAGTGAGAGGAGGAGGTGGGTGTGTGTGTGTGGGGGGGGTAAATAGGGAAGGTGAAGATGGGTCAAACTACATGAGCAACGAGATCATTTGGGAGGTGACGCTCTGCAGAAACAGGAAGTGTGTGTGTGTGTGTATGTATGTGTGCTTGCGACAGGCTTTGCGTCACGCTGAAATGCTTCCCCACAGCTCTCTCAGCTCCATCCTTGGTGACCTAATTTCTAGTCGTCATGCCACTAAGGGAGAGAGCAAGGATTCACATTTTTACGAGAACATGCACATCTCTCCTGATCCTTCTCTCTCTGTCTGTCTTTCTTTGTCCTACAGTGTTAAAGTGTATCTGTATCTCTGACACACACACACACACACACACACACACACACACACACAGAGACATGCAGTCCCACCCGGTCGATCATGCCCAGACTTGATTGTTGCTCTGCAGGTACAACTGTGTTGCATAAGCAGCAGGCAAAAGGAGGAGACAAGAAAGAACAGCTGTGCAGAATACCACACACACACACACACACACACACACACACACACACCAAGTGACATGTGGTATCTATAGTTCATCTTGAACTGAGCACATGTTAAATCCAAATATGAATTTTAACTTTATATTTCTGTGAATGTATCATCTGCCTCTCGCTCTCTCTCTCTGTCACTCACACTCACTCACTCACACACACACACACACACACATTCCTGCATGGTCTCCTTCTGTACACCTCCTATCGATGCGGACGCGCACGTGCACGCATACAGACACACAAACAGCCACTGCTATGCAATGCTGCTGTCGCCACAACATCACGAAATGGCGGAACTCGCTCCTGTTGCGGTTATCATCGCTGTTATTCACGGTGTGTGCGAGTGCGCGCGCGCGCGCGTCTGTAACTGCTGCATCAGTGTGTGTGTGTGTGTGTGTGTGTGAATCTGTCAGTGAGCAGGCAGCTTAACATCTGCCCCACATAGTACAGACAGCGGCCTCTATTATGCCGTCTGACGCACGCGCATCGGGATGTGTGCACGCGCACAGCGGCAGCAGCAGCAGTAGCTCAGGGCCTCATTACATCACGTCCCAATTGTTAAGAAAAAAAAAACATCAACAACAAACAACAACAGGAGTGTCGGTGGGAGGCCACATGATCCCACACTCTGCTTTCCGACCTGATTTCCTCAATCACTGCCCGCCGTGCACGAGCACTACAGCCCACACACACACACACACACACACACACACACACACACACACACACACACACACACACACACACACACACTTACAAGCTACCGTACATACGCGTGCACGCACACCACCGAGCGGGAGGCAGCAAAAGCAGAGGAAGACCAGGGAGACGCATCCTTGCGCGGTGGTTGGAGAGGAGAGAGCGGGTGAGGGATGGAGAGGGGAGGGGAGGAAAGAAAGGGGGGGGTTGCCGGGGTGGACAGGTGCTCAACAGCTCCACACGCACGCGCGCACACAGACAGCGACACCACATGCACGTGCACACACACAGGGAGACATTTACCCGTAGTGCAGACAGGTCTATCTCGTCCAGACTCCGCGCAGGGGAGTCGCTCGCCATGGTTCTCTCGGTAGATACGGGACTCAAGATGGAAGCTTCCTCAACGACCATCGACCGAGAGGTGCAGAGCGGCGGGGATGAACTCACACTCCTCTAAAATAAATAAATCCCCCCACCCACCCCCAAAAAAAAAAATCCCCGGAAATGCTTGTGCAGGCGATGCCTTCAGGGGAGCAGAAAGGAGCGCTCCAGGAGGGGAGAGAAGACGGAGGAGGAGCGCAGGAGGGAGGCGATGTGCGCGGGGCTCCAGGTGCTACATGCTGCTCGGCGCCGTGAATCCGGTGAATCCGGTGCTACATGCCTCCACCTCAATCACCATCAATCTGTACAGGAGAGGAGCGGAGCGGGGGTGACACGCGCGCACAGAGATAGAGAGAGACTGACAGACACTGCACAGAGAGAGAGAGAGAGAGAGAGGGAGAGAGATAGAGAGAGAGAGAAGCACAGCAGCCGGGGCGCGCTGACAGCGAACACACTCCGTCCGTACGTCCGTCTGTGTGGCGGAACAGCAGCGCGCTTCCCGGGAGTGGCCTGTGAGGAGGCTGCGCTACAGACAGAGACGCCCACAATGTTACACACACACATATATACAAACACACGCACGTATATACACATACACACACACACCTCCACCTCCAGTGTAACAACAATCACATCTACACAGCTGTCTGTTCCTGTATGGCAGCTTATTAAAGATAAAACTAAGTGGTAATCAATTAAGAGCCTGAGCTGAAGCTGCAGGTCACAATCACACAGCCTCAGGCACTAACTGTCAGGAGGGGGCGACCACCATCCTGCCCCCCCCCCTCCTTTTTTTGATCCTGAGTGCCAAAATGGCCTTTAAAGAACCCACAAGGGACATTTTCATGCTTCATTTATGTCTTAATGTCAAATCAAAAGGGCATTAAAGCGGTGACACCAGTGCCCTCTGCTCAGCTCAAGTTCCCTTCATCCAAACCCCAACAATCAGCGGTGGAAAGAAATTAAGTACATTTACTTTACACTTCTATTCCTCTACAGTTGTGATGAAAATATTGCTCTAGTAGTTTCTTTACAGTGATTTTACAAAATACAGCACACTGTTAAAGCTTAAACCAGTGGCTCCTGTGAACATTTGCAAACTGTTGTGACCCCAGGGCGACAGGTCGTGGTTTGCGAACGTGCAGGGACACATTTGTAAGCACATGTTTGAAAGCACAGTTGTGATTTCACACACATACACACCCTGCTGTCCCTGGTCTCTGCAGCTGCTGCTGACAGATTCTCAACACCTGAGATTGTGAGAAAAAAAAAACATCTGCCAGCAGCTTCTTCACAGACACAGACTGAAATATGCAGACAAATGAACAACTGTTAGAGCAAATCAACAGGCGTAGGTACCGGATGCTACATGTTATGAATGATTAGGTGTCCTTATAGTGCATTACTATCTGTATGACATGGCTGATTACCAAAATGTAAAAATAAAAAGGTAGGGTGTGTTTAAATCTCTAAACAGCAATGAATACAAAACACTTTCCAGCTGTAGCGTGTGAGTGTGAAATCATGTGTCTGTTTCTTTATGTTCTCAGGACACACCTGAGTCAGTGATGTCATGTCAGGGCAGGTATTTCCCACACACTCCCACACACCCAAAACCACTTCCTCAAACTGAACATTATAAGTTCTACAAAGCTCTGGTTTGTTGCAGGGCTGTCGTTCATGTTATTGTGTCCAATTTCCTCTGCACAAAATGGACAAAAGTATGTGGACAGCTGATCCTAACAGCCTTATTTGATATTTTAAACATGTCACTTTTAAGACCATGAGCATTAACGGGCTGCTCAAACAGCCTCCACCCAGCTGGTTTCAGGCTTTCCACCAGATGTTGAACCTGCTACAGGGATTTACTCCCATTCAGACACATTAGAGCATTACTGAGGTCCAGCACTGATGATGGGTGATAAGGTCTGGCTCACATTTGGGGTTTCATTTCATGCCAAAGGTGCTGAGGTCAGAGCTCTGTGCAGGACTGGAGCTGAGGGCTTTGCCATGTTGAAACAGACACAAACTGCTGACACAAAGCTGGACTAAACTGATGTCAAAAATAGCACAGTGTGCTGGAGAATTAAGCGTCCACATAGTTTTGCCATTATGAGAATCATATTGTGTTTCTGTGGCGCCATCACGTGGCAGAAAGAGAAACTTCAGGAGGGAGGAATTTGGGACAGTGGAGGTATTTTGAGGACAAAGCTGTTTTCTTTTCCATCAGGTGACAGGTTTTTCATTTCACTGACAGCACAATAAAACCTGTGCAAAGAATGATGGACGCACGGGAGAGAAATATTCAGTGATCATACAGGAGGAAGGAGGCAAGATGGCAGTTTGAAGTCTGATGAAGAAAGGCAGTGAAATTGTTTCACTTCATTACTAAGTCGACTCAGACTGATATATATATATATATATATATATATATATATATATCAGTCTGAGTATATATATATATTTATGTATAAAGCCTGAAGCCCATTTAGCTGGCTCATTAGCTAGTTAACGAGCTAAGCTAACAAGCCAGGTACGCCGAGCGCAGACACAGATACCGGCTAATTAGTGCTAGCATTTAAATAAATTCGTGGAAACGATTCACTCACCTCAAAAATTAGCAGCAGAGACTTCCTCACGTTCTGTTAGTCAAGCAACCGCGTGGCAAGACATGTTATTTATCCAATATTTACATGAAAAATAATCCTAAACGTACAAATACGTCCGAAACGTCACGTTCAGTGACTCAAATTAGCAGAGGTGACGTAGAGCAGTTAGCTAGCGGTTAGCCGACTTGGACAGCGCCCGCCTGTCACTCAAAGCGACCACGCCCACAATTCTGAGTAACTTTAAGCCTTAATAAAATTTAAATGGGTGAGTTATATTAAAATTAATCTCCTGTACAGTTGTCATGAAGGAGGAAAATAGCCATAGAGAATAAAAGTTGTTTTTTGTAACGGCCTGTAAACCACTGTAAGAGCAGTTTAATATGGGAGTCTATGGGGATTGACTCACTGTAGGAGCCGGCCTCTAGTGGCCGTTAGAGAAACTGCAGTTTTTAGCACTTCGCCCTGGAGTCAACATCCAGATGGTAAAATACTGAAACCTTTATTTTATTGACATAAAAGTCATCAAATTTAAATATACTGACACTTAAAGTACAAGCGCGTACACAAGATATTTTATACCTGCATATAGAAACTAACGCTGTGTATGAATGACAAATTTTGAGTAAAAAAAAAAAACAAGTGAAAGTAAAATCCGATCCAATTAATGACTTAGTAACACCTCTTTTATTTATTCCATCATTTCACAAAAAGCAACACATGACGTGGTACTGCAGATCATCATTTAGCGGTCGCCACAAGAAAACAACAGTCTGTGCAAATAGTGCATTTTCAGAGAGACACAGTGATTAAAGCCAGACAGAGAAAAGACGGGACAGGTCAGTGTTTCGTCAACCTCTACAGCCCAGGTTTGAGGACAGTGAAGAATTAATCCATGTGCTCTGAATAGTTAAGTATGAAACCATTCAAGTTAATGACTTTATTTCTGTTCAATTTTCTGTTTCCTTTACAGTTTTGGATTTAGGTGAAAACAGACTGGTATCGCACTGGCGTATTTACTTCATTTTTTGGGGGCAGCTGCAAATATTCATGATTTTTGAAAAGCTGAAAATCATGACAAAGATTAAAACCACTGCAGCAGGAGGTAGAAACACAGGGAGGTAGAGAGGAAGATTAAAAAGAAGAGCACGTACAAGGGCCCATTTCCCATAAATATTAAGAGTGTAGAAGTTCCAGGTATATCTGACACACAGCTTGTAGACAGGCACACTTTTTGTTAGCATCAACAAAGTCCATGGCTTTAAACGCAACCATTCAGCTTGCAGGGCTCATGCTTCTATCTGTCATGTTAAATGGCAACGAGCTGCTGTCATGCTATCAGCTACAGGAGACGTCTGTGATGTTTTTTGGTAATAAAAAAAACAGCATCATGCAGATCACATACAGACCAACGAGGAAGACACTGAGAAATATCGATGCTACGTTCCAGACATGTCAGAAAATCGGAAATCCAGAGACGACAGTTTGAGTTTGGAATTTGAGAAGGAAACACAGCCACAAGGTTTCCAAAAAAATACAGATGTTGCATGTCTTTTTATAACCTTTTTCATAGCTGTTACAAACTTGAACTTGAGTTTTTATTATTTATGTAATCTTAAACCTGTATTCACTGATTTTTCTGGCCACTTGCAGGCAGCTGGAACACATGTTCATGTTCACCACAACAACTTTACGAGGTGACAATATGTTAATCTGGTGTTCTCAGCTTGTTGTACTGAACCATAAAGACTAAAAAAAACAATGAATGTATTTTTGAATGCACAGAAACATCTGGGTGCTAATGGTGAAATGAAATTTTGCACTTGAAGCTGCTAACACTTTATCTAACAAACCAACATTAGCAAATATAACTGATGTAAAGTTGAATCTGTGTGTTATGTCGGTAAAAAAAAAGAAAAAAAATAATAACAATTTTATTCAAGTTTCAAATTTCCTGGAAGTTTTCTGGAAAGAATAATTAATTATGAATAACTACTGGTGTAATTAAATTTAACCATTATAAGTAGAATAATTATGAGGAATGAGAACTGGTTGAATATGTTAAATCCTCTGAGGAAAAACATATTTTCCTCATAATTAGTATCAAATTACTGCACTGTACTTCTTTCCAGAAAACTTTCAGGAAATGATGAAGAAAATTGCACATCCATAAAATAAAGGAACTACAAAGACAGAGTATAAAACAGGTCACTTAAGGCTGAATGTAGCATCCACAGTATGAGGAATGTAAATGAATAAATGTACTGTCTCATCAATATCAGTCCGTCTCCTTTGGCACTTGTGATTTTCTGTTTGACATAAACGTTAAAAGCACGGTTCAGAGATTGTTTTTTTTTTTTGTTTGTTTTAAGAAAATGGCTGAAGACGTCCGACAGCTCTTCATCCTCTTCTCTGCACCAGTGTTTTCATCAAAGTCTCCTTTAGTGTCTTTTCAAACCGTCCCGTCTCAACACAGGAGAGTCAGAGCTGCGTTCGCCGGCCCACTTTGACGTTGCATAGTGTTGTCAGAGAATGGAGGAGCGAGCCGAGGGGATTATAGAGTAATAGCTTGGGCAGCAGGAGGCTTCAGGCCTCACGGTTCATCACTTCACTTTCTCTACTTTTTTTTTTTTCTTCTTGTAAACGTGAGGCCCAGGTTTTCAGGCACTGTAGAGGTCAACGCTCCATCTTCTGGTCGACTTTGTGTTTTGCATCTGTTTAAAACAACGAGCTATGTGTACGTGTGAGTTTTTAACAGGTTACAGTCTCGTATGATATTGTGTAATCTAAGCGGGTGTAACGGTGCAGAGGCTTCGTCACAAACCTGCCTCCACCAAAGCTGACGC